GTGGTAAACTTAGAAGAAACATGTATGTAACATTGTTCAATTTCAATTTCTATTTTTTTGGGACCAATTGCATCAAACTTTGATTTCATTAGATTTCGTAGGAGGAAAAACATGACCGCGTAAATTTGGAATAAAGTGCTTACATTTTGAAGTCCAGAGAGAAGCAACAAAATTTACGACAAGAGTCAGAAGTACCATTTGAAAAATATTCAGTATTTTTAGCTGACTTTGCATCGTTTCATTCGCACGAATTTTGTAAGCAGAACGATAAATGAAATTGCCGGCGCCGGTGGTGTAGTGGTAAGCGTGACTGCTTTCTAACACCCTAATAGGTCTGGGTTCAATCCCAGCCGAGGTCGGTGGGATTTTTCTGAGGCATAAAAATCTCTGGTCACGTCTTCCTTCGGAAGGGAAGTAAAGCCGTTGGTCTCGGCCCATGTGTGGTTGAATGGGTGCGATATCCTACGCAGGTGTGGAAGCTGCCTTCCTGCACATTCGATTGCCGTCAATGGATGACAATCGATGTCCGTCGGTGATTGGCACTAGATTGCGGAACAGAGATCGACGTTAAATAAAAGAAAAAAAATGAAATCGGGTGCTTATCGATATCTATATATCCAAGATTTCCCTATGTTTCTCAATTGCCGTCACATGAAAATTTCATCAAAAATCCCAACACAAATAACTACTCCAATTACTTTTTAACAAAAAACATGGTAAGGTTGATGCTTGTTGATTGAAAAGGCAAAAGAGGAGCTACACACAATCATATCAAACTTTTTTTCGGGGGGCGACCCCGGCGTAGTGGTTAGCATCCATACCTCTCACGCCAAAGTCATGAGTTCTAATCTCACCCCCGGAAAAGTCACGAATGACCCAAGAGCGTTAAAGTGACTATAATTAAAAAAAAAAAAAAAAAAAAAACACTTTTTTTCGACCACTTTGGCTAAGGTCCCAGGGTATCAAAGTTAAGCACTATTTACTAACGAAAATATTATTTTTTTAGTACTTTATTTAAGAGATTTTTAGCAGAATCCCATAAGCAAACATCAGTCTGTGCGTGAAACTTGGTAAACATTTCCTTACTCTTTTACTCCTTTGAAAATCCCATATGATTCTGTCAATCTTTGCGTGAAGAAACGGTGGCTTGCTAGAGGAATGAAGAGATAAGACAAAGTCCGCTAGATTTAATGCACAGATTGTCAGATGCTTATGGGATTTTACCAGGAGTCAAGAGTTGCAGAGTCGCCATCAACGCCAATGCTTACTTTAGTAAGGGCCAAACGTAAACAATTACTTTTTGTGTGAATTTCTCGAAAATGAAAACTCCTTCAAGAAAACCAACACCATGATTGTGTAGAGAAAGAGTCCTCCTATCCGATAAAATTAGTGGCTTACATGGGTTGACTTTGGCCTACGAGATATTTACGAAAAAAGCCATTATTTATGTTTTCGACATTGGTCTTTATGAATGCTCAGTGTCGATATGACGAAAATTTTATTTTGACAGATCGATGTCCAACTATGCCAGTTATACCACTGAGGCAAAACAAAACAGGGGTCAGATTTGAGTCAGCTTTTTGCATGAAGTTCCACATATGTTATGTGGTAGAATCCATGCTGAGCCGTGGAGATGTAATTTTTACAAGAGCTGAAGAACGCCTCAATGATGATGAACTCGAATACTTTGGAGCAGCAACATAGTGATGTGATTCCTCTGTAATTCTGGACATTCCTTTTATCACCTTTCTTGTGGACGAGGAACATATACGAAAATGTCCACGCCTCAGGAAATTTACTCTCCTGTAGTGACAGATTAAATAATTTCACCAAGGGAGTGAGCAACGACTCCGACAGCTTCAGAACGGATGCAGGAATGCTGTCTGGCCCAGCAGCAAACGAGAGTTTAAACCTTTGAAGAGCTAGATTGACGGTATGTTCACTGATGTGAAACGGACGGAGCTCAAATGCATCTGTTGGAGAATCGCTTATAGCAATTGTGAACTGGTTTGTTGATGCCGAAGATTCATTGAACGAACTCATGAAATGTTGAGCAAAAAGGCGGCATTTCTCCGGTTCAGGTTCAGCGGTTTGCTCACCGAGATGAACTGACAATGCCAAACCGACTTCGTTCTTTTTAGAGTTTACACACGACCAGAAACGCTTTGGATTTCTGCGAAGAAATGATTGCGTACGGAAGACATATCGTCGATATAGGAATCTGTTGCATTTCCTAAAGTCGTTACTTGTGCGGATGAACTCTTGCTTCGTTATGTACGAACGATTTTGGCAGTATCTTTGTAGCGATTTAGCCCTATATCGTTTCAGTCGACGCAAGTGACCGTCTGACCACAGTGGCTTTGGTGCGGGGCGGGCAATAGGTACAAATTCAGCCATGATATCCCAAATCATTTGACTGAAATATTCAACGGCATCGTCAACACATCCAGCTAATTCTAATGGTCGCCAATCGATACCGGAAATCGGCTCGACGGAAATCCAGTGTACGATTATTTTCGGAACAATCCTCAAAAACGATTGGCGCTGGGAGGTTCATCAGGACGTCACCCTGCTCTGCATCAAGAAAGATCAGTGGTTCTATGGCTTCCGAAACGGTGCATGCCAGAGTTGCAGCTTCGTTAGACAGAACAAGGTCTAGAAAGCGAGCGTTCCTATTCAATACACCATTGATCTGCGTGAGGCCATGTAAAGCGAAACCGTCGATAAGCGTTGAACTAGCAGCCGATAGAACCGATTGAGGCTCAACCTGGAAAGAGCCATCGTACGACTTACTCCACCAGAGCAAAGGCTGGTTATAATCTCTGAGCGGCAGAGCATAGTCACTGAATTCCAAATTGGAAGCAATAGCACCGATGGAGTTCACATGGTCCTGAATACCAATGACATCGTTGTGGCGGTCAGGAGGTAAAAAGATCACGCATACACTAATAACTTGACTTGGCGTAGTGATTCTAACCCACAGCTGTTCTAGAGCATCGGAAACAGGTGTCGGATCGATATAACTGTTCCAACGAGATGACACAGCGATTAGGACACCTATCGCACTTAAGCTTCATGTTGATATTAGTATAGCATTTCCTCCTAACTCTGAAAATCGTAAACTTCACGAATTAAGTAACAAAACACTTTGATTAATCATTAACATCTGAACTGAGGCGAACCAGCTCAGGGCTGAAAGTCTCCATAATGAAGCAATACAAGGAAAAAGATATTAAAACCTGAATAAAAGCTAAATGTAAGCATATTTAACTTTCCATTAGCTCAAACTGTAGGTTGGTTTAAGTCAGGATTGAAAATAACAGTGCTTTAAAATCTTCACTTTATGAGCTATAAATTTGTATTCAGGGCATTCAAACTGTTTTTTGGCTGGAGCAACTGAAACAATATATTATAATTATTCTAATTAAATCGCAGTTGCAGTTACAGAATACAACGACTGTATTGTATATTTTCTGATTTAGTGACATCATCACTGAAGAGTTTGATTGAAGTATAATATATTTGCTGAAAAAAATACCTGCATTTTGAGTAGTGATGATGTTGAATTTTCTTTCATACTCTGATATATTTTATTTTCCAAGCTTTGATTCCTTAAAATTGTATGGCACCTAAAGTTCGAGAGCTTCTCAATGTTTCAAAAATACCGACAAAATCATTGTCTATGTTCGACCAATTTTTTTTTTTTGAAGCCTGAGAGGAATTCCAAAACTGTGTGATTCAGGAAATTTAATTGAGATATCGGACTTTATATATCTCTTTTCTATTTCCAAAATCACACAACAGGCTTTGAAATAAAAAGTATCTCGTGTCACTTTTATACATTGATCGATTCTCTTCATAGAATCTCTCTTTCGTTAATAGCTCAGTTCACGCTGTCCTTATCGAATAAAAATTAGACTGAAATATGCAGCCAAGTTTTTAACAAAAGAAAGAATCGATCAATGTAGATAGGACCTATTGAAAAGTGACACGAAATTTCACCGCTCCAAGCTATGTCGTCAACCGTGTTAACTACAACAAATAGTGCAAGCAATATATCGTTTTCCTTCTTCCTGCATTAACTGAAAATTCTGCATAATGGAGATTCAAACTTGTTGGACGCATTGTGCCAATATTAATTTCTTCAAGGTTTTAGTAATGCTAACAGCTCTTTGTTTTGCATAATTTATATAAACTTGCCATTCTTATGGTAATCAATTAAAATTCTGTCAGTTTGAATAAATTCCAGAAGATTATACTGAACAATATATTCGGAACACTCGTACATCAATTTGATTTCAATAATATTATTAAAGGAAATGATTTTTACGTAGTTTGGATTTTTCAAAACATTCCAGATTTGTCCAGATATGATATTTTAACTGGACCAGATTTTCCTGCAAATGACCTGGCAACTCAAGATTGCGTGTTTACTATTACTGTTTTCTATCGCTACTTCCATTACAAATGAAATCATCTCTGGTAATGATGAGTCAAACACCCTATACCTAAAAACAAATCAAAAACTACTTCAGTTGTCAACCAAAATCTATACTGTAGACAACGGAGTAAGTGGCGAAAGAAAACAATACGTTCTTTATCAATATAATGCATCACGCGCAACGATTTCCAAAACACCTAAATAAGTCATCCTCATGCCATCGACGATAAACAAGCGCATGTTCAAGCCCATACGTGTGCGTCAATCAAATCATTCCTTTTGGCGTCAAATTTAGAATTCGCGTGTAGTCAAGATATCGGACTACGTCGAAATAGCCACGGCACCAACGTAAACAAATCGATATGAGCGCTCTGTAATATATGATTTAAAAAGAAGTATCCCACAACAGCAATTTAAAATTCATTATAGTATTTTAATGAAACTATACACTATTGATTTACCGACATCAAGTACTTCTTATCAACTTGTTCCGTCAGACCTATAGATAGCACTTAAAATATCTTTGAGAGATTCACCAGAAATTCACTTGAATACTAACATTCAACGAAGACAACGCATCTAAACTTCTCACGAGGGTGGACATAGCGTCGTCGACCAGCTTCAAGTTGGACAAGTCCAATGCACTCGTCCGGTTCCTGACCGTCAACGTCCCATTTGAAAACATCCATGGCAAATAGTTGTTCGCTTCTCCTAGCATACATTCCGTGTCCACCGTTGTTTTATACTGGAATGTCTTCAAGCGGATATTGTATGGCCCTTCCGGTTCCTTTGGCAGAAAATTATCGAATCCATTATCAATAATTTTCTCGACAATAACACATTCGTCGTTACTGAGCACTTCACCGTCATTGCACTCCCTTTGCGTAACCGAACTTCCGCTTAGTAATATCACTAGACAGAGCACTGTCAAATTCTCTTGAACTTCCATCCGAAAGTGCTCCGAAGATACATGTCTTCTTGACACGTCGCGGCAAACTAGACAACTGAATGGCTTCGGTATGACTCGGTTCACTGCAAATTTAGCGCTTCAGTTATCATAAATTGACGATAGATTCCTTATCGAACGTGATTTCTTCTTTTGTTTTCAACTCTTAAGAGCTTTTTCCTTCCTTGGGCTCATATCTCTTATCACCACAGAAGGAGTAATTAAGATAATGAAAGAGCGTAATTCATCATGCCGGTGTAAGTTCAGGGGTATGCGCATGCAACAGTAAACTGGTCGGAACTCTATTGCTCAAGCATCGGTGAACCCATTGGAGGAATACTAAATACGGGATAAGATTAATGTCGATGCCGTCAAAAGGCGGAAGGTAAAGCCAATAAAAATATAAATGTTTTGATTTTGCTTTATCGCATAAATCGAAGTCGATGGGACGTGTGTGTAAATAACAGCGAATCTAAGGTTTATCAGAATTGGGTAGGTAGGCTTTCTCATTGATAAAGCTCTAGCTTATGCATATTAGGCCAATTCCTGTAATGATTCAAAGGTCAAAATTTAACTGAACAATTTTCAAACCAACCGTTAGAAATAATCATAATCAGTCTTCGCTTATTAAGATCTTATAGTATGGGGAATCTAACCTTTTTTTTAATTATCTCGAATGTTCGGTTGGTAAAGCAAAGAAGTCAACACTGAGACAGCAGGAACAGCGAGAGTTAACGGGAAAATGATGATCATAGAAGTGTTCAAAATTATTGATATTTTCCTAAAAAGTGAAGTTTGTCAAGCTACATCACGTGATGAAGTTTGAGAAAAATATGTTAATTTAGCAAAACCCGTTTTCGGTGGGGTCGGACTAAATGTCGTTTCAATTAATTTCGAGTAAATTTTGGCAAAAAAACGCATATTCAATCTAAATTCATACTATCGCATAGTAACAAGGTTCTATAATTATAAGTGATGAACAAGAAATTGGTTGTATAATACCATTATTTTACTAATGTTTGATCAATCATATCTGCAGGGAACAGTGAAACATGCATATCACTACTGTATACCTTTTTTGTAAGAAGGGTAAAAAGTATTCTTTATATAGTGAACGGCAATTAGTTGCGTCGTGCAAAGGGACCATTTTCAAGCCCCCTTATCTCTTTGTAACGTTTTTTGTATCGACCTTAAACAAATTTTCTATGGATCGTCAGGGTTTCCAAGCCCCCCTCGTCCCTAAAAGCGTGACGTAAATTAGTATTGTTCTCATACTCGATAGGGCACGACGACCTCTCAAGTATCATTGGTGTGATCGAACAATAATTTTATGATTTGAAGCATACGTATTAAAACATGTGACTCAATGTTAAAGAATCTCAGTTTAGCTATTTTAGCAACCTCCACCAGCAACCACAAGTGTTGCTATTCAAGTGCGGAAAATAACAATCTACCTCTCGGTGAACAGCGGCTTAGCATGAAATGTAATTTTTGTTTTTTCATTTTAAAATTATCCAAATATGTCATAAGTTTTGCATTATAACTGGTATTTTTTACGCTATAAACGGTTTTGTATGTTTTTTTTTTTTGTTAAATTTTTTATACGTTGTAACTGTGAATGATGGTCATGAAACAAGTCATACAATGAAGATTTTTGTTTTTAAACAATGGTTAGAAAACATAATTTTTTATTATTTGCTTAAAATATCCCTAACAATAAGTTATTATAAAACAACAGCACAAATTAAAAATAACAATTGGTCAAATTTGTATTTTCTTTCTACTTAAACTTCTTCCTCATCATCAGAAACTGGCACAAAATTGTAAATGATGCGGTCTACACCAATATGATGATCCTGGTTGATCAATATCCCATATAATGTCCTCTATGTTCCAATCATCTAGGAACCGCAATGGAACAAATGATGAAAAAAATATATTGGAATCTCTATTTACATCGATTTGGAATTTTTGCTTGTACTCTGTGAGTCCCGAAGCACCATCACAACCCTACTTGGCAATCAAAGTCAAATGCTCCTCCTTACCATGTTGCAATCGGTGTTCAATAGCACTTTCTAGCAGCAGCAGTAACCTTTCAGCGCTTTTATTTAGAATAGCCTGGAGATCAATCTTCACATTGCATTATGTGACAAAAAATGCGTTTTGCGGAGGATAACATTCCTTTTTGGCTCTTTGTACTTGGTAGTACGGTGGGAACCTGAAATAATAAAACCATTGTATTTTACATACAAACTCCTTACTTTAAACTTAATACCTGTCTTTTACTGGTTCCCTAATAATGTTGTAACTATATCTCGTCAGTTTTGCCATCACTAAAATGGACAACGCCTTCTCAGGTGTGATTTGAGTGGTTTGGTTGTTGAGATCAATAGCCTGTTTAATTAAATTTGCTGCTTTGTAATTGTGGTTGGCACGCAAACTCATTTCCGCAGCAAAGCTTAACTGATTTGACGAATATTTTGCTGTAATTTCCTCAGTACGGCGCCGCTTCGATCGATTACTGCATTCTTCAAAAGCTTTTTCAGATTTTCCTCTAACCAATCTGAATGGTCCTTCTCAAAGCGGTCGCGCTGCAGTTGGGATTGTAGAAATTTCCTGTTGAATGCTTTCCAAAAAATCTCAAACTTTTTTTTCGCATTCGAAGGAAAGCTTCGTAACGTATTTTACAATACATAATACATGACCGGTCACAACTTCTGCAGATCCCTCCCACCTAAAATGCTATATCATTCATGGATCGTATCCTAGAGCTTCTACCAGTTTCCCTTAACGTTTAATCGGTGCACACTACTGCACCATTTAAATCGAACGAGTGCGAGCAAGAGGGAAACATATTAGTGGGAAAAAAAACCGTCCAAACAACCGTCTCTGTGTGCTAGATAGATGAAGACGATTAAACGTCAAAAAGGTCTATGGTGTCTCCCGACTTTCCCGGATTTGTTTTTATTATTTTTCTACTATATTATCTGAATGTAATATTCAATAAAAATAACTGTACATTTCCCAGAAAACCATTGATTCATCAATATTGAAAGCATTTAAATTCATAGTTCAGGCTTAGGGTAATGAAAATACCCTATGGCCGTTTTTTTAATGTTGATTGTGAATTCTATTGAACGTCATAAGATTGGAATTTATGACAAACTCGTCAAAGCAATCATCTCATATTGAAATGCTATCAAGATTTTTTGTGAAATGTATCACCTACATACGTGCTCCGGAATGGCCGTTCAATGGGCAATCCGTCGGATGATCACAAAATTATGATAAAAAGTATCCTGCTGCAAATTCATGAATTTTGCTACTCATATTGCAGGGGTTTCTTCCCAAACATTTCGGAACCTACTCCGGAATGACCGTTTCCGAGACAATCCATCGGATGATCAAAAAATTATGATAAACATTCTCCTGTTGGAAATTCATGAATTTTGATACCCATATTGTAGGGGTTTCTTCCCAAACACTTATATGGCCACTAGAAGCCCTACAGGAACCTACTCCGGAATGACCGTTTCTGAGACAATCCATCGGATGATCAAAAAATTATGATAAACATTCTCCTGTTGGAAATTCATGAATTTTGATACCCATATTGTAGGGGTTTCTTCCCAAACATTTCTATAGCCACTAGACGCCCTACGGGAGCCTACTCCGGAATGGCCGATCCGGGGACAATCCATCGAATGATTACAACATTATGATAAACAGTCTCCTGCTGTAAATTCATGAATTGTTATACCCTATTGCAGGGGTTTCTTCCCAAACACTTATTTGGCCACTAGCGGCCCTACGGTAACTTGCTCCGGAATGGCCATTCTGGGGACAAACCTTAAAATTGTTCTCAAGTAGATGAAATTGTTTCATGAAGTAGATTCTGATATTCTGATATCTATTCCTTCGAAATTCGAGCGTAACTGGCAAGAAAAAGCTTAGTTCTGGAACATTACACAATTCCGGGGGACATTGTTGACAATGTCCAGAAAGAGGATAAGTTTCTGAATCCTGACGCGCTCAATTTCAGTGCCAAACAAAACATACTTGAACACAACCCAAGTAACCATAAGCACGTTATTTCACCTTTTTGACTATATACGGCTCACCAATGGCTATACCAGTGTTTGTAAGTTCTGATGAGGCCCTTTTATAGTCAAAAAGGCGAAATAACGTGCCTATGGCTACTTGGGAATAGTCTCATTCTTGCGCGAAAAAGAGATTACCGTGCATTCGGACGGGTTAATCTCCGTATGATTCAGAATACACCAATCAGCAAAAGCATTCAGCTGACAATTGAATTAATTCGAAGGAAGAGATTAAGGTTATCTGCGTAAGATAATCGTGGTCCTTCCAGATTCCTAGATTCACCTCGTTGAAGTAAATCAGAAAAATCAGCGGTCCCAGGTGACTACCCTGAGGTATGCCGGACGTGGCAGTGAACATACGGAACTGATGATCACCAATGACAACAGTAAGATAGCGATCGGTGAGGTACGACTGAAACCATTGCAAAAGGCAACCGTGGATACCAAGCGATTGATACGATTACGTGGATACGCGGATACGATTGATAAGCGGTGATTCAATTTATCGAAGGCTGCAGATAAGTCAGTATAAATGACATCCGTCTGAGCACGATCCAACATACTGTTAAAGATGTAGGAAATAAAATTGTTATGGTTAATGGTATTTTTTTATTAGGGCAGTCTACAGGAATCTGGCCTGGGCCCAGGCTAAGGTAAAAGTGATAAGCTGCGCCCAGTATGGAAAATCTTTCATGTTGGCCTAATGCACCTGTACAAGATACATGAGTGAGAGTGAGTGATACGTAAAATATAATATCAAACTGCATCTGAAAATATTAGGAGACTCTATTGCCAAAGATCTACTCTTGTTCAGAGCTTCAGAAAAAGTCTACTTTGCCCAAATTCCCCCTTGTACTGAAAGAAAATGAAATATCTGTATTGTAACCTGACTCTCAGAAAACAAATTTATTCTAGAGTTTTCGTTTGATAAAAAATGTGGAGAATCTAATTTCACGAT